TATATACGGAAAAGTTTATACTTGTTTCTTTTTCTTGAAAATAAACAAATAAATGAATAGATGAATGTCGTAGGAACTGAAACGCTGTGTTGCTAAAATCTTTCAGAAGTTTGATTGCAAAATGGGTCTTTACTTCTTCAAAATTCATGACGAGGAAGATGCAAAAAAAAATTATAGAACGAAGAAATGAGAACATGTGGTGGATAAATTTCACATTTCAGAAGATCTAATAAAATAAAAATAACTAACAACAGTTTTGAAAATGAAAAGACGGAAAAAAATTCTGATACCAATTATATATCAATCTATACAAGCTTGAATTAAAACATACGGAAAAACAACACACTCACATAGCATACACAAAACAGATAAACAAAGACACGCAAAATGTATATTGATATATATTAATCCCCATTGGAGACTCCAGTGCCATACTGGAAAACGCGATCGGGTGCATGGTGAAGTCTACACTATATATTGTATGGATATATATGTATAATTGAATCAATAAATGTATATATACTTTTATATATATGCGTGTGTGTGTGAATATATAAAGAGAGATGAATAAATAAACAGATGGATAGTTAGACTGATAAAATGAAAGATAAACTGATTGATAGACATTAAATATAATTGTGAAACAATATTTAGTTCTCCAAAAATGAATTATTGTATTTATACATATTACGAGTAGGATGCAAGAAAATGTAATTACTCAATTACTCAATTGACAATTTTATCTATTTCGTTACTGTAGTTTATCCTGGTCTACATCACCGTAATAATAATCCATATAATACTCATTATAATTATCTTTACTTTATAATCAATATTGTTATAAATGGTATTAAGATTATTATTATTAATCTTATTACAACTATTGCATTTGTTATCATTATTTCTGCAGTTATTCATATTATTGCAATTATTCATATTATTGTTATTATTATTGATATTACTACTGTTATCATCTATATTTTATTATAATGGGTATCGTCAATTTTACTATTATTATAATGATCATCATCTTTACTGTCATATCCTCATCATGATCTTGTATTACTATAATTAGTATTATTGTCTAAATATCAGAAGCAGAAATAGTAGTAGTAGAAATAGTAGTGCCAATATAATAAATGTAGTAATAAACTGGGTTAAATGGAAATACAAACATTGATATTGTTCATATAATCAATATCATTGACTTTCCTATTTAAAGTTTAATTTAATTAAATCCTAAAGACAGTAACAATAGTAATAATAGTAGCTGTAATAGTAATAGCAAAACATTAGTTCATTAAAAGTGGGAATATCTGTATTGGTGTTAAATATAGTCATCATTATCAACAGTTATATAGCATCAAAAGCATAAATCTAAAAATATTAAGAAATAACACATTCCATTATTTACATAGTATAGACTACCTATTGCTCTGTATAAATACATTACACACAAATATGTGTATATATATGTATTTATTTATGGTCATATTTATAATTATATATATATATATATACTTTATATGCACGAATCAATGAATATATATGTGAATATACATAGGGCTATCTTTATGCAAAGAACATGTTTTGAGAGTTAACCAAACTTGCAAATGTATTTTCATAGCGTTCTGTAGGCACAATAGGATAAAGATAATCCTTAAGAAAAAACAAAACAAAACAAAAAAAACGAAGTGAGAAACTGAGTATGAGAAGAAATTGGGGTCACTAGAAGTGCAAGAGGAATGAGAGAGAATGGAAGTATATAAGGCGGAGCTTGACTGGGCGAGCCAGCATCTTCCACCATGAAGCTCTTTGTGAGTGGTACTTCCTACTCCGTACGCTGAAATGAGAAGGATGTAGTTATAGCAAAATTTAGTTACTTCATATTATGAACTCTATTCTTCAAACGCAACCACCCTCACACTCACACATACACACACTCAGATACAAATTGACAGAAAAGAAAATACACAACACCCAAACCTAAGAATACTCTCGTATATAGATTCAGATAGACAGAGGTCAAATAATGCGAAAAATAGTATGATATAAATAATCTTCTAACAAAATATATACACTCCCTTTGTATTTTCTAAAGGTTCTCTCGGCACTCATGGTCGCAGCTTATGCGGCACCTCAAGGCTACAATTTGGCCTCGCCATCGGGAGGTGAATTTTCCCATGGTGGAGATCACTCATCTGGAAGTGGCTTCTCTAGTGGCGGCGGAGCCTCCGGTGGAGGATTCTCCAGTGGCGGTGGAATCTCCGGTGGAGGATTTTCAAGCAGTGGAGGTCACCCATCTGGAAGTGGCGGCGGAGCCTCCGGTGGAGGATTTTCAAGTGGCGGAGGAGTGTCTGGTGGAGGTTTCTCTGGTGGAAGCAGTGGTGGATTTGGAGGTCCCGCTGGTGGGTGTCGAGATGGAGAGATCCTGCATGTGGATGGATCTTGCGTAGTTCCTGTAATCACGAGAAATGTGTTTGTGTATGATGCTCCTGAG